GGTGTTGACAACGTTGTCTGAGCTAGTGGTAAAACCTCTCTCCAACTACATCTGTCGTTGCTCTCTGGGCTGATTCGTGGCTGCTGACGACACTGCCTGTGCTGGTGGCATGACCTCTCGGAGTTTATTTTTGCTCTATTAATGGCTGCAGAATGATCTATGGCTGATAAAGACGTTCTGGCAATATGTGTTGATAATATTGTCTGAGTTGTTGGTAAAGCCTACTTGGGTCTACATATCTCGCTGCGCTCCAAGTCGATTCGTGGCTGCTAACGACACTGTCTGTGCTGGTGGCATGACATCTCAGAGTTTGTTCTCGCTCCAAAACGGTGATAGTATGGGGCTTGAAACTCTTGAAAAATACTATGGTTGACTAGCACCACTGAAAAAAAAAAAAAAAAAAAAAAAAGAAAAGGGAAAAAAAGAAGGAAAGAAAAAAGGCAAGTGAAAAAAAAAAAGAAAAAAAGGAAAGGAAGAAAAAAAAAATTTGTGAAACAAAAAAAAATAGAAAAAAAAAAAGAAAATAGAGAAAAAAAAAAAAGAAAAAAAGGAAAGAAAAAAAAAAGTCGTGAAAAAAAATAGGAAAAAGGAAAGAAAAAATTTTTCGTGAAAAAAAAAAAAAAGAAGGAAAGAAAAAAAATCGTGAAAAAGAAAGAAAAAAAATTCGTGAAAAAAAAGGAAAGAAAAAGAAAAAAAAAAAGGGAAAAAAATGAAAGGAAAAAAAAAAAAAAAGGAAAAAAGGAAAGGTTGAAAAAAAAATTCGTGCAAAAAAGAGAGAGAAAAAAAAAAGAAGGAAAGAAAAAAAAGCGTGAAAAAAAAAGAGCGTCTTGAAAAAAAGAGAGAAAAAAAAACGTGGGAAAAAAAAGATAAAAAAATGGGGAAAAAAAAAAGAAAGAAAAAAAAAAGAGAAAAAAAAAAAATTCGTGAAAAGTTTCTAGCGTGAAAAGCATGGGTGATGAAAATTTTCTAACGTGGAAAAAATGGGTGAAAAAAAAGAAGAGAAAAGGCTGAAAAACAAAAAAATAAAAAATAAAAAATAAAAAGAAAAGAAAAGAAAAAGAAGAAGAGTCATACCAATTATTCGTTCGAGCAGAGGCCGCAATCCAACACTGTCTTTAGAAGTTGTGATCTGACAAGTCTTCAGAGAATATTGAAATTGATGTCAAACCCTATACTATTGGGGGTATATATAGGCAACAAAATACCTCCTATTTGTATTTGGATTTGTATAATTTAGTTCAAATAGGAAAGTAAAATTCCAATCCAAAGTTGGATAGAAAAACAAAAGAGGAAATCTTACCATCCAAAGTTGGAGAGGAAAGGAAAAAAAAAAAAAAAAGTAAGGTTGGATACTTCAAGTCCCACTTGAAAAAGGAGACCAAGTCTTGTCAAACCTGGAACTTGAAGTGGGGGCAATTTGTAAACACTAAAAATTTAGTGGGCTTTGGTTTTGACAAATTGACCCATTATGGACTTAATGTTTAATTAAGTTATTTAATTGGCCCAAACTTGATCCAATTAAATTATTTAATTAGCTTAACCCAGATGGTTAAATAAACAGATAATTATTCCTAATAAAATATATTTGGAATAATTATTTTTAAGGATAATTATCATAATATAACCGGTCCGGCCCCGTTATAATTTTATCCTTATCAGGAGATGACACATATCATCATTCTATTAACCTAAGAAGCCTATAAATAGAGGCCTGGGGATGAAGGAGGGGGACAAATTGAGAGTCCAGAAATCCAGGATGTCCAGAAATTGAGAGAATCAGAAATCTGGACAAACCTGAAGGCGAAGAATACCAAGCACATCCAAAGTCGTGCCGTTTTTCACCAAATTCAACAAATTCTCTCCTCTTTGAAGACGAAGAACAACAAGCACATCCAAAGACGTGTCGTTCTTCCTCAAATTCAACAAAGGACACAAATTCAGAATTCAGAAGTTCAGAAATTCAAACACAAATGTAGAATTCAGAAGTCCAGAAATCCAGAAACTCAAGAAGTCAGAGACACAAATTCAGAATTTAAACCTAAAAACGAAGAACATCAAGCACATCCGACAACGTGTCGTTTTTCATCAAATTTCACGGTGATCAACAATAAGCACATCCAACGACATGCCGTTTTTCATCAAATTTCACGGTGATTCAAGAACAAGCTCGTGCAGTCCTTGAATCCAATCAACCAAAAAGGAGATCGAATCAGATGACCATTCTTTTTTTCTAAAGAATATTATTACAGATGATTGTACTTCAATTGTTTACAAATTAATAAATTACGATTTGCTCCATATTTTGTTTCTATTTGTAGACTTACAAAATTTGTGTGTACAGCGACCATCTAAATTGCTCAAGAATTGACGACAATTAAACTAGTCAAGCCAATAATTAATTCTAAATCGTTTAATGTTTGGACCGGCCTCCAAATGCCAATTGATAACTAAACAAAGTCGAGTGAGCAATTGATTTGCAGTCACAACCCTATAAAAGTAAGAATATTGGGAAGTCAAGTTAATCTTGATTTATTTATCTAGGTAAAAAGTAGACATATTTTGAAAGGGACAATAACATCTTTATACAAGGAGTACCCACTTAGCTGAATTCCTGTTCTGAACGGGTAAACATGGTGACATATAGCAACTCTGTATCTATATCATTTACAAATAAAAATTGTGTGCTGCAGACACATGGGAAACAAAACAACATGGAATCTCCATCACTGATTGCAAAGATGATGGTCCGTCTTTAATGCTGGTTCATTGATCATGTGGAATGTCAAGGTCAAGACAACATCACAGAGTGGGCATGGATGTATCAAATAAAATTGTTCTCACAAGAAAAAAAAATATCCTAATGTAAGGAATCATAATGATCACTGCAGGTTATGACCAAGATTGGAACCAAATCAATACTCAAAAACTATTTGGAGAATATCACCTTTCCTGTGAAAAGCATTGATCAATGATCTTTTGGAAGGAATAGCTTTTTTTTTTTTTTCTTTCACAAAATACCACTTTTCTATATCCCATCTAGGTCATTTAAAAAAAAAGGTGCTGGGGTACATTAGGATTTGGGACCATTGTGTGGTTTGAATGACCCCAACTTTGGGGTGGTGTCAAGTCTGTTTATTTGTGATTCGTATAAGATAAAATGACAATGATATGATTGAGACAATTTTAGGGTTTAGGCCAATGTTTTTGTAGTATAGTGGTACCACATCTTAACAGAGAAGGGTGACATTAAAGTTCACACTTATCCATGGTTCACCAAAAAAAAAAAAAAAAAAATTTGTCAAAGAATATATGGGTATTTGTTATTAATTATTTTTGTTTAAAACTCAAAATTAAATTTTAAATTATGCAATTATTTGATAAAGTATTCTACTAGGAGACACAATTTTGGAGCTATGTCTAACACATCAGGCCCTCAGATGACTTCTAATATGCTTTTTAATGTTGCTCAGGCCCAGCCTGCCTGGTTACAACCTAGTTGAACTTTTCTGTTTTGAAGAGGCCCAAAACTATAAACTTTATATAATAAGTTGGGAAACAAGATGTAGTTCAGATACAGCTATTTTAATGTTTTAAGTGGTTATTTCTGATAGTAGACTTTATGCCAAATATATTGGTGTGTTACATTACAGTATCAGTTGCACAAGTCACAAAGAGCAGAAGCAAGTATTGGAGGGGGAGGCCAAAAGCAGCTAAATCTTAGTCACACAGAGTTGGAATGGAAACAGAAGCGTGCATGTAGTGTGAGAGAGGAAGCGCGCAGGGAGCGTGAGAGCGGTACCCGTTTAGAAGAATTATGCGACATAGCTCTGAAATTGTGATTTCTTCGTGATTGTCCAACCTCAAGAAGAATATTAAGTGATTGGAACCTATCGCCTTCTTGCTGTCATCCTCTCGCTAGGGCTCACCGGAAATGGAGCACTGATAACCACCATTAATGGTTAATCATTCCGTTAATTGCGGTTATTAGTTTAGTCGTTTGGACTGGGCTTTTGCTTTGTTTTCCCTCTTTTGGGCTTGCTGTGTCCCATTGTAATGGGCAGTTTTAGGCCTAAGGCCCACCATGTAATTATTCTTTATATATGTATATATATTCAGTTGTTTAAAAGTCCAAAAAAAAAAAAACTCCAACACCACTTTGATTCTACTAAATCATCTTTGATATGCATTGGGCAATTACCAAAAAAATTTATGAGAGTGGCTCCTAGAAGATTCAAACTCCCGACCTCCAAGTTGTTGTGAGGAGGGAGTCTTCGCCATTATATATATATATATATATATATATATATATATATATATATATATATATATATATATATTCAGTTGTTTAAAATTAAAAAAAAAATCTCCAACACTACTTTGTTTCCTCTAAATCAAATCTTTGAGTATGCATCAGGGAGTAGCTCCTAGAAAATTCGAACTCCAGGTCTCTAAGTTGTGAGGTGGGAGTCTTCACCATTAGCCTATATTGCCCTTAAGGCTAAAGACTTTGTTGAATTGTGAAGTTTAGTTGTAGGTTGTAGATTTTATAAATTCTTACAACTTATTTATAGCAAATCTAGAATTTTATTTAGAGGTGCAATAATGGGCTTCACTATTTAATGTAAATGCCACTATATCTTTTAATAACATGACATTATTGTCCCTGACTTTATACATAAAAAAGAATCAACATCATAGACATTTTTGTCATTTGTTTTAACCAAAAAAATAAAAAAAGTGGATTTATATTTCTTTTCTTACTGTGAATCTTCATTTGCAAAATCAAATTTCTAAATTGCTACATATAATGTAATCATTTAGACCAGCCCATGTAAACCCAGTAGAATTAAGCGGACTGGGCCTAGGCCTAGGCCCTATAAATTTTCTTTCCCTGACTTTGGTGGTATGTATCTAAACACCGAGGTCAGAGTCAGACCTTCACACGACGACAATGGTTTCCACCATTTTGGATATGGTAAGATTTGTTTCTGTTCTGTAAAGTGTTTTATGTTTGGATATTTTTATTTATACACACACTTACATCGTATATTTATGCAATACATATCTCTTCATCTTCGTAATAAATCGCAAACCCAACAAACCCTGTGTATGAATCTCTTACTTTGTTGGCAGAGCTGTTTTAGTCCCAGTTATGGCAATTACTGGAGCTTGAGGTCTAGGAGAAGATCAAGGCTTCGTATTTCCCAGGTGGTTATACGTTATAGTTTTCATTCCATAAATTTTCTCTACTAAATAAAATTTAGCTTCTGTTTGGATGACCAGAAACGGAGAGAAAAAGTAATTGTGATTCTGGATTTTATGTTAATATTTGTAATTTATTGTTGTGAATTGTGAACGAATTAACCTTATGTGTATCGGATAAGGTTAAATCACAAGACTTTCAGCTAATGTTCTATCTCTTATTTATTTATTTATAATCCATTGATGTTCTCGGCCATCAAATTTTACCAACATTTTGAGTCTAAATTACCGTTGATTTGAGATATCATTTTTGTATTATATTTGCCAATTCCAATATTTTGAATAATAACTTTTAATATGGACTTTATTAATGTTCATTAATTCATGAAATATCTCAAAAGCAATGGTAATTTGGATTCAAAATGTCAGTAAGTGTTTGAAATATTTTTTAAATTATTTAAAATCATTGGCTAACTGTAAGCTTGGCATATTAATTAAGGTATTACATAATGCCTTTGGTTAAATTTTGAACAACAAAAAATCATTCAGTAGGCATCCAAGATCATTTCAAGTGAGATAGGTCTGATCTTGATAAAGATATTGGTTTAGAGAGATGTTTGCTTGAGAGAACAGCACTGTTTGACATGACATGACATCAAAACCCGATGGTTAAGATATTTAATTGCTCTAACCTTTGAGTATTCAAAATTTCATCAAGTAGGCATATTTTTGTAAGACAAATAAGTAATGGAATGATATTTTTGGCAATGATAAGTTAAATAATGATGGTTTTGATATCATTATTCTATGAACTATTTTGAGATTGCTGCCGTTTTCAAAGAAGTAAGGTTTAATGTTTCAGTAGTGCCGTAATGTTTCAGTAGTGCCGTTTTCAAAGAAGTAAGGGTTTAACCCCAAATTTTCAGTTTGCTAAGGGTCTAGGGCTTCCAGAATAAAAACTGATATGTTGTAACCCGTTTTATGTTTTTTATAATCTACTGTAGCTTGAGCATAGGGAAGTGATTCTTAGTTCATGGACCACTTCAAGATTACAAGATATCTATAATTTTATTATCAAATTATCCATCAGGTTTAACTTTTACGTTCATACTAAAATCACAATTATTGGGTAATAGGAATTGAATCTCCAGTCACTTGTGCTTGAGATAGTAATCACTTTATTTTGACTATACAGAACTGGTTTCATTTGGTTTACATTGATTTTAGAGTCATTTCCTTTTCTACTTTTTTTCTGGGAGGGAGATTGGAGTTTAACTAGGTATTGTGTCAAGGCTGTTGTTTTTATTTCCCTCTCTTCTCTCTTATCTGGCAGACCTTGAACCCCTATTGATATTTGGCAACTCCACTCAAGTCCAAATCCAATGACAAAAGGAAGGCCAGTAAGCCATTGTTCTATCACTTGTTCTATCACTTGTTTACTCAAAATGATATAGCTATCAAAATTATGCTATGAAAACTCAGGGGTTCTTAAGGAAAATTTTAGACCAGGCACGTATTGGTAATTATGAGATATTTCATTGAATTTTGTATTGACCCATAATCTTGCAAATAGAAAATTTCTAATTCTGTAAAACAATGTGTTTCAGGAAAGAAGAGTTGCAGAGCCAGGGAAGAAGCAAGATAAGAAAAGCCTCACAGGAAAAACAAGGAATATCATAGAGGATAATCTTATCATTTCTAATTCTAAGAAATCTAGTCTAGACATCCCCCCTCCACTAGTTAGTGCATTAAAAGCTTCAGCAGAACAAGATGCTGCCAGCTTTCACTTCCCTGGGCATAACAGAGGGCGAGCTGCTCCATCATCATTGACTCAGCTCATTGGTATGAGACCATTTATTCATGATTTACCTGAGCTTCCAGAACTAGACAACCTCTTTTCTCCAGAAGGGCCCATTCTAGATGCACAAAAACAAGCAGCCAAACTATTTGGAGCATCAGAGACATGGTTTCTTGTTGGGGGTACTACTTGTGGAATCCAATCGGCAGTTATGGCCACTTGTTCTCCGGGAGACATTCTAATTCTCCCTCGGAATTCCCACATATCAGCTATATCTGCTATGGTATTGTCTGGGGTACTACCAAAGTACATCATTCCTGAGTATTATTTTGACTGGGACATTGCTGGTGGGGTCACTCTTGTGCAGGCAAGTTAATGATATCATCATATTCATGGTTGTATGCATGAGTGTACCCATTATTATCTGTTAAAATGGTAGAACTTGTAAAAGTTGATTATGTGTAAACTTGGTCTAAAGCAAATATTATGGTACCTAGTTACCGAATAAACAAAGGAAAAGAAATATGATTTAGAGTTCAAGTCCTTAACAATAAAGAATTGAAGTACATTTAACAGTGACAGTGTCAAAGCTAATATTTTTCTGACATTTTTATTGCAGGTAGAGAAAGCAATCAAGGAATTGGAAATGGAAGGTCGAAAAGCAGCTGCAGTTTTTGTCACTTCCCCTACTTACCATGGCATATGTAGCAACTTGAGCGAGATCACCAAGCTGTGTCATTCTTACAATATTCCTGTGATTGTTGATGAGGCTCATGGTGCGCACTTAGGATTTCATCCCAACATGCCTTATTCAGCTCTCCAGCAAGGTGCTGATCTTGCTGTGCAGTCTACTCACAAAGTGTTGTGCTCTCTTACACAGTCATCAATGTTACACGTGTCGGGAAATCTTGTAGATAGAGAGAGGATTTGCAGATGCCTTCAAACCCTTCAAAGCACTAGCCCAAGTTATCTGCTGTTAGCATCATTAGATGCCGCTAGGGCTCAACTAAGTGAAAACCCCGGAACAATTTTCAACAAAGCAATGGAATTGGTTGTTGAAATGAAAATTCTGATCAATAAAATACCAGGTATTTCTGTCCTCAATTTTCCAAGCTCCTCTAGCTTTCCTTCCATTGATCCCTTGCGAATTTCTATCGGAGTGTGGCAGCTTGGTCTTACTGGATATGAAGCAGATGATATTTTAAGTGAGGATTATGGGGTGATTTCCGAACTTGTAGGAACCCGATCTATAACCTTTGCAATTAATCTAGGGACTTGTAGAGAGCATGTGCTGAGACTAGTGTCGGGATTGAAGCATTTATCAGCAAGTTTCTCACTAAATCAGGGCATGAATCACAGATTGGATGATGTTGAGTGTTCACCCTTTGATGATATCAACATGAGCTTGAGCCCAAGAGAAGCCTTCTTTGCAAGTAAAAGAAAAGTGAGCTTTAAAGACAGCCTTGGTGAAATATGTGGGGAGCTTATATGTCCATACCCACCAGGGATTCCTGTACTGATCCCGGGCGAGGTCATCACAAAGAGAGCACTGAATTATCTATTGCAGCTTAGACGCAGAGGTATTGTAATTAGTGGAGTTGCAGATCCTCTTCTATCTTCCATAGTTGTCTGCAATACTTGAGTTGCTGATCCTCTTCTATGATCTTCCATAGGTGTACCTAATTCTACCCAGAATGTGACTTCATCAGTGAAATTGGGCAATCCTACTAACAAGTTTATTAAGTTAACCATGTACTAGTAACTGAATGAGGTTGGCCTTGGCGCAGCGGTAAGGTTGCTCTTTTGTGACATGAAGGTTATGGATTTGGATCACGGAAACAGTCCCTTCGACATCTGCCATTTTAAAAGACTTGCGCCATGCATTTGGTAAGTTAGAACCCCGAGAAAGTTTGTCAAATCTCGGGGAATATAGAGAGGAAGGAGAGAAATGTATTGTTTGTATTATTTCTTCGAAAAAAAAATGCGAAGAGAGAAGGCAAGAGGTAGAGGAAACCAAAACATATTGAGGGGGGTGGGTTATGATAATATTGTTAGTATGAAAAGATACAAGAAAATGTGATTTGATTAACGTTATGATTTCCTGGAAAAATAGAATTCATGTAAGTGCTTGTGGTTGGGAAATGACTTTGTTATGGGTTTTGTTGTATGCTGAGGATTTTTAAATATTCTTAGAACTTATAGCAAATTTAAATATATTTACGATTTATTTTTGGGGTGTAATATTGGCGATTCACTATTTAATAAATGTCCTATATTTTTTAGTAAAATGACATCATTGTGTTGGTCTTTTCCATGATACATGTTTGTTGGCTTTTTTTCTGATACCACTTTTGTTAGCAATAGTGATCTAGATATACATGCAACTCTGTAATATTTGGAAGAGAATAGAATGAAGGAAAATACTTTTTATTTCACTTGATTCTATTTCATCTTATTCTCAACTTATTCAACTTTTTTCTCTACATAAAATAGTTATAGTGCATGAGTTTATATAGGCTCTAAGACATATGTAACCAATTACATTTCAATGTCCAATTACTTTCACTAATCTCACTAACATAGTAATTAGTAGACTTAACTCTCATGTCTTCTACTAACATAAATATAAACTCTCACTAACACACAATTAACACGATATTAAAGGATTTGTAACCTTCACAAAAACTCTAAAAAACACACAATCAAGTTTAATTTCCAATAGCCCTTTAAACTTGATTTTAACTTTCAAGTAAACTTCTTATTGATCTTGGAGACTTGAACAAAAGTTCGTTAGTTGATCTTCAATTCCACCTCCTTCAACTGTAACAATGATCTTGGCCATTTCCATTGATGTATATGGCTTGTGAAAAGTCTTCAAATGCTTGTTTGATGTATTCACACAATCATATATCATCCTCTTTATACAAATACACCATCTATCTTTTTTCTTATTTTTTTTTATGTCTCTTCCTCTTCACACGTGCTCTTCTTTAGAGTCAAAAAATAAATTCATATTCACCCAACTTGTGTCAATTACAAAATTCTCCAAACTATTTTTTTAAAAATAATTTCAGAATGTTTTTATCATCTTGAATTTCAATCTCATACTTCTTTGGAGAAACTTTCTTCAAGAAAAGTTCATCATTCTCCACAATATGAACACAATTATCAAAATATTTGATTTTGTTTTTTTCCAATTGAGATGAATATGAAGAAATCATAATTTTATCAAATAAGTTGAATCTACCTTCTTTCAAGGTGAAATTTGTTACCATACCTGAAGATGTTAATGTGCCAACTTCATCAACTTTTGCCTCTTCTTTAGTATTTTTTTTTTCTTTAATTTCTTTTTCCACTTCATTTTCCTCAACTTTTTTAATTTCTTCTTCAACGTCTTTCCTCAACTCTTTCTCATTCACCATTTTAAGTTCTCCTTCTACTTTTGAATCTTCAAAAGGTTCAATTTCATTTGTGTTGTATGCCTCATCATTCTCAACAAATTTGTCCTTTACATTTTCATAATCAGCCTTTATTAACTCATCATTCTCAAAGCATTATACCCAATACTCCATGGGTAATGACTCACCTCTATGATTGGAAACGATGGTCTCGAGCATCTTCCAAACACAACTTGGAGTTTTGAACTCTCCAAAATACTCCCAAATTTCTTGATGTATTGCCTTTTGCAACACCACAAACGCCTTCTTTTCTTTCTTTTCATGAAGCTTGTTGAATATGCCATTCTTTGGCTCTTCTCCAACAAAATCTCACAAATCAAATGCTTTGAGGTATGAAGTCATTAGAAAACATCATCTTTTCATTGAGAAAATACATTTTCCCCTCTTCATCATCATCAAGGAGAAACATGTTTTTTTCAAAATATTGAACCTTCTAGGATCAACGTCGTCAGGCCATCTAGGCTTTGAACATGAAACCTTGGCTCTAAAATGGAACCTGGCTTTGATACCACTTTGTTGGTTTTTTCTCTGATACAACTTTGTTGGCAATAGTGACTTAGATACACATACAATACTATAATATTTAGAAGAGAATAGAATGAAGGAAAATACTTTTTATTTCACTTGATTCTATTTCATCTTATTCTTAACTTATTCAACTTTTTTCTCCACATAAAATAGGTATAGTATATGAGTTTATATAGGCTCTAAGGTATATGTAACAATTACATTTCAATGCTCAATTACTTCCACTAATCCCGCTAACATAATATTTAGTAGACTTAACTCCCATGTCTTTGACTGACACAAATACAAACTTCTACTAACATATAATTAACACACCATATTAAAGGACTTATGACCTTCACAAAAACCCTAAAAAGCATGCAATCAAGTTTAATTTTCAACACATTGCTCCTGATTTCTTGTATGAAAAAAGAATCAGCGTCATATACACTTCTGTCATTTGCTTTAAAATAAAAAAAAAATAAAAAAATAAAAGTGGATTCGATTATGCCTTCCTTTATTTTAAATTTCTTTTCTTGCTGTCAAGCTTGATTTGCTACAACTGTGTGTTCAAGTGTATGGAATGGTCCTAGCTAGCTCTTGTACACGTGTATGGGCTTGGCCTTGTACGGGGTGGTCCATTGTTTTAGGACCACCCGGTAGGCCCTATAAAGTTTATTTTCCCAGTAATTCCTCCTTTTATCATACACTATTTATTAAATGTCCTATATATAAAATGACATTTTTTTTTTCCACAATAAACTGTTCCTGATTTCGTGTATGAAAAAGAATCAGCATCATAGACACTTTTGTCATTTGCTTTAAAATAAAAAATTAAAAATATATAAGTGGATTCAAATATGCCTTCCTTTATTTTAAATTTCTTTTCTTGCTGTGACTGTGGTCCATTGTTCAAGTGCAAGGAATGGTCCTAGCTCTTGTACATTATTATTTGAGGACCATCCATTAATTTCTGGTTTTTCATAACTTATTAATGATCGTTGTAAAGTATGATGTGTCAACACTTCATTCGTTCAAATTCCAATAATGTATCACCAAATTCATCTATAAAACCATGATTAAACTCAGACCTTCACAACAAAGAAAATGGTTTCCACCATTTTGGATATGGTACGTAAGAGTTGTTTCTCTTATCTAAATAGTTTATGTTTATATATATATGTAGATATGGTACGAAAGAGTTGTTTCTCTTATCTAAATAGTTTATGTTTATATATATATGTACACATATATACTTGCATTGTACATGAATCTCTTACTTTCTTGGCAGAGCTGCTTTAGTCTCAGTTATGGTAATAATTGGAGTTTGACGTCTACCAGAAGATCAAGGCTTCGTATTTCTCAGGTGGGTCTACGTAATAGTTTTCATTCCGTACATTTTTCTCTACTAAATTCAATTTAGCTTCTGTTTGGATGATCAGAAACGGAGAGAAAAAGTAAATGTGATTCAATTTAGCTTCTGTTCTCGGCGTGCCATCAAATATTAACATTTTGAGTCCAAATTAACATTGATTTTGAGATTTCATTTTTGTACATTACTTAGGTTATATTTTGAAGAACAAAAAATAATTCAGTAGGGCATCCAAGATGTGTTGCAGGAAATTAGCATTGCAGAGCCAGGGAAGAACCAACATAAGAGAAGGGTGATGGAAAATACAATGACTGTGGTGGAGGATAATCTTATTATGTCCACTCCACTACTTAGTGCATTAAAAGCTTCAGCAGCAGAAGATGTTGCCAGTTTTAACTTCCCCGCGCATAACAGAGGCCAAGGTGCTCCATCATCACTGACTCAGCTCATTGGCATGAGACCATTTCTTCATGATTTACCCGAGCCCTTTGTTCCAGAAGGCCCCATTTTAGATGCACAAAAACAAGCAGCCAAACTGTTTGGAGCATCACAGACATGGTTTCTTGTTGGGGGTACAACTTGTGGAATCCAAGCGGCAATCATGGCCACTTGTTCTCCGGGAGATACTCTAATTCTCCCTCGGAATTCCCATATATCAGCTATATCTGCCATGGTATTGTCTGGAGCACTACCAAAGTACATCATTCCTGGGTATGATTTTGATTGGGACGTTGCTGGTGGAGTCACTCCAATGCAGGCAAGTTAACAGATATCAAATTCATGGTTGCATGCATGACATGAGTTCACCCATTATTATCTGTTACACTGGCATTGTTAGAAATAAAGAAAGAGGCTCTGATACCATGTTAGAAATAAAGAAAGAGAGTATAAAACTCTGCATTGCATTGATGTGTAAGAAGTAATTATATATACGGTACTCCGGCCTATACAAGGTTATAATCCTATATATAATAATCATATATATAATGACGTTATTGTTGTTGTTGTTGTTGTTGCAGGTGGAGAAAGCAATCAAGGAACTGAAAACTGAAGGTCGAAATGCAGCTGCAGTTTTTGTCACTTCCCCTACTTACCACGGTATATGTAGCAACTTGACCGAGATCTCCAAGCTGTGTCAATCTTATAATATTCCTTTGATTGTTGACGAGGCTCATGGTGCACACTTGGGATTTCATCCCAACACGCCTTGTTCAGCCCTCCAGCAAGGTGCTGATCTTGCAGTGCAGTCGACTCACAAAGTTTTGTGTTCTCTTTCACAGTCATCAATGTTACATATGTCAGGAGATCTGGTACATAGAGAGAGGATTTGCAAATGCCTTCAAACCCTTCAAAGCACTAGCCCTAGTTATCTGCTTTTAGCATCACTAGATGCCGCTAGGGCTCAACTAAGTGAAAGCCCCGAAACAATTTTCAACAAAGCAATGGAACTGGCTGTTGACATGAAAACTTTGATCAACAAAATACCAGGCATTTCGGTCCTCGATTTTCCAAGCTTCTCTAGTTTTCCTGCTTTTGATCCCTTGCGAATTACTATAGGCGTGTGGCAGCTTGGTCTTACTGGATATGAAGCGGATGATATTTTAATCCAGGATTTTGGTGTGATTTCTGAACTTACAGGGTCTAGATCCGTTACCTTGGCAGTTAATATAGGAAACTGTAGAGAACATGTTGTGAGACTAGTGTCAGGATTCAAGCATTTATCAGAAACTTTCTCACTAAATCAGGGCATGCGTGGACACAGATTGGATGATATCGATTGTTCACCATTTGATGACATTAACATGAGCTTGAGCCCAAGAGAGGCCTTCTTTGCAAGTAAAAGAAAAGTGAGTTTTAAAGAGAGCGTGGGTGAAATATGCGGGGAGCTTATAACTCCATTCCCACCAGGGATTCCTGTACTGATACCGGGCGAGGTTATCACAGAGAGAGCATTGAATTATCTATTGCAGCTTAGAAGCAGGGGTGCTGATATTACTGGAGTTGCTGATCCTCTTCTGTCTTCCATAGTTGTATGCAATACTTGAGTTGATGATCCTCCTCTTCTATCATCTTCCATGGGTGTACCTAATTCTAAATTTGTCTTTAACAAGTGATTGACCATTTTATGGGCATTTACATGCTTGCTTGATAAACCTTGCTTTAAATAATTTCCTTGGCAGGGCTTCCAACGCTAGCTAAATGACAGTCGTCTCTCGTCTTTAATTTTTGTGCAAGTAGATTGAGAATATTGTTAGTCTCGAGTCTCGACAAGATTTTATAACATGGGATTTCATTTGCATAATCAATATTCTAAATTGTAGTATGGGACAGAACAGCATTAGGTGACGTGTGGGGGATACATGTCATAAATGTTAGTGGTCAATACTGTCACAACAACTGTCTTTTTCCACTTTTACTCTTTTTTTTTTCGCATTCCATTTTTAGAACGGCTAAGAGGGAGGAGACTTTATCCACTAGTGTTTATTGGTAGTGATTGACGTGAAAATTTCAAGCCTCCAATCATATTCACAACAAATATTAGTGGCATTGGTTGAAAAAATTCCAAACTGGGTGCAAACAAAACTTCACTTTTCTTATTTATGACATAAATTATTAATTAAAAATAATAAATCTAACAAACGATTCACTGTAATAATTTATCGTAAAAATTATTTTTCTTAAGATATATATATATATATATATATGTGTGTGTGTGTGTGTGTGTGTGTGTGTGTGTTATGAAAAAAAAAAATTATTAGAAGAAATGTGAGTGTGGAGATACATATAACAAAATTTGTCTGTCTTTATTTATTTTTTTATTATTTCTCTTGTTTTATATTTGAGTATATCAGTTGTAGAGATTTTACTTTATGAATATTTTTTTAATTGAAAGCTCCAAAAAACGTACAAGGGCGGAAAAAAAACTCATGTTAGAAGATCTTACTTTTGGTTTGTGAAGACCAGTTCTGTCTCTGCTAAAATTGGTTTGGGATCATTTTAATAGAGTTAGGGCCTTAGGGACTGATTTAAGAATATAATTTAAAAGATAAAGTACAACCACACTCGAAATTTGTCAAAAGAAAACTTACTCTGCTTTGAAACAATGACATCCTAATGATATTTGTAAGCCAAACAGAACCTTAAAACATGTAAAAAGTCAACATTACCTTTCACTATTTTATTAATTTTAATTTTAAAATATTAAAATAATTAAATGATCAATTTACCTTCAACACCCCATCAATCTTACAAAAAGTTTCTTTTGCTGCCACCATACCAAACTCCGCCACCACCAACACATAATCCCCACCACCACCACCAATTCATGACTTCACATCCATTCAATTTAACTTAGTTACATAATATATAATCAATTATTATTTCTATAATAAATAATATATTATCAATTAATATGGTAATATATCAAATGGATAAATTATCTATATTCAAATAAAAACACTTTAGAGATGTCGTTGCTTTCAATATATATATTATTTACCAACAGATCAGTGGTCTAACTGTACCAAGCCCCTACTTCTCAAAGAGAGGTCAGGGGTTCGAGCCTCCGTAGAGGCATGTATGTGTGAGTACCCAACTAATATATATATATATATATATATATATATATATATATATACAGAATCCTGATATCTTGCTCTAACGGACATTTTTCAAATCCAACTATAGCATTTCCTTTTACCACAAAACCACCCCCATCCTATTTTTTATTTCTATATTTAATTTTACCATTACCACTTACTGTAACAATAAAAGTTAATTATCAACTCTCTCTCCATTTCTTGGTGCGTGGCTGAATTTGAATGACAAAAGTGACAAATGATTTCTCTTCACGGATAAGGTTGTGAGAAGGCTTCACCAATTTTTATTTTTATTTTTATTTTTTATTCCAAAATGCAATATTATAGTATATTTGTTGATAAATTTACTTATACTAGAGAAATATATTATAGTTGCAAAATTGATGTTTCTTAGGAAAATGCTATAATATCGTGCTGTTATTGCAAAATTGAATTTTTAGTAAAATATACTGGTATTTTGATAATTACCTTTTATTGTTATAGTAGGTGGTAATAGTAAAATTAAATATAGAAACTAAAAATAGGGTGAGAGTGGTTTTGTGTTAAAGAAAAAGCTATAGGTGGGTTTGAAAAATGACCGTTAGATTAAATCTAACAGTCTATATAAAAAGTGTGGATTAATTTTCTTACTCCATAGGGAGTAAGAGATCAAGACTCTATATATACATATATGTATACATATATATCTACAGTATCGTTCAATTGCTTCCGGGGAGTAAGAAATTATATACTGGCTTTTAATTGTAGCCTTGTAATTAATTAATTGACTTTTATTTTCTTTATTTTAAGAAACTTACATTTTATTTCCATACTACTAAATGTCGTTAAAGAAAAATGACAGAATTGGACAATTTATTAAAGGAAACAAAAAATAAAATAAATTGACTACATTTTGACAAATTCGCAAGCAACCACTTAGACGAAGTAAAATTAATCTAAAATTAAAAATCATCATTTTTAGTTTTTTTCCACACTTTATCAATTCTATTGATAAATTATGAAAAAACTTAGAATTTGCAATGATATTATACATATTTTGACATGCTTTTACCGATCAATACCTTGAACATTTAATTTACCAAAAAAAATTAAAAATTAAAAGACACTGTGAACATTTAGATGGATATATAATAATATATCAAGAGTTGTTTAGCAGGATCTTTCTAAAAAATTTATGAAGCCAATAGTAGTCGATCTCCTAATTCTAAATTAGTTGCTGAACAAATTCAAAATATTTTATTAAGTTGAGTATAAAACATGGATCAATCTTGAAATTTGAGTTTTGATTATAATCAATACTTCTCCAGCAATCTTTATTTAATGGTCATTTTATTTATCACTTTTGATTAATTTTATTTGGTTTCTGTTGCTGCTTGCAAATTTGTTGAATTGAATAAACAATCGATAGTGATGGGGAAGTGTTTTTTTACTGGACAGAGAAATCTAGACAAAAAAGTAGCCAAATTATTTTATTTTTGTTTCCTTTAATAAATTGTCTAGTTCTGTCATTTTTCTTTAACGATATTTAATTGTATGGGAAAAAAATATAAGGTTCTTAAAATGAAGAAAATAAAAGTCAATTGACTCATTCCCGATTCTAAGGTTACAATTAAAAGTAAATATATAATTTTTTGCTCCAAGAAGTAATTGAACACTACTGTATGTATATATATATATATATATGTACGTGTATATGTGTGTTGGTGTTGGGGCGGAGGAAGAGAGGAGAGAAGGAACTAAATGGGAATGGGTTTCTGAGGTTGGAAAGGTCATTTCATGATTAATATAAAAGTCAAAAAGTAAAAATATCAATTTATTAATATGGATGTCTTTGGCAACCATATCAAACGTGAGGGAGTATCTTTGTCTCAAAATAAATTAAGTTTCATTTATGTGTCCTTTTAATAAATCTTAAGTGTGTTGTTATACTTTACCTTAATTTAAAACTCAAAAAGTTCTAAATTAGGTTTATAATTACAAAGAAAATTAATATTATTTTATTAACTATAAATTTTTTTTGTTATGATAATTGCATATTTTTACAACAATTTTATAAAAACAACCAATCATAATACCCAGCTGTCCAATGTGGCCCCCACCACTTTGTCGCTATCCAATAATTCTCTACATTATCAATGCATTGTAGTCATTTAGTCATATGCATTTGGATTGAAGATTTACAAATTGGAAAGCAACGTAATGTGGCGCCCAAATTTTTTTGTTTTTGTCCGAAGGTTGTGGCGCCCAAAAATTGTATTGAGGAATAGTCGATATCATTTTCTATAAATAGAGTAATGGTGTATTGTATGGAAGCGTGACTGTGAATGGTGAAGTCACATGCGTTTTCGTCTCTACCCAAGACACGACACGTGGCATGTTTAAAGTTTAGTACACTTATTATTGGGAAGAGATTTGTATTCCGTCAAAGAAATTAAATACTCCATACTTTTGTCGTTATGTCTCATGCCTCATTGTCACACACCTTTGCAAACAACCACCATGCTTTCATTAATTATTGACCCATAATCCAATAACCCATTACGTGTGCTCAAGACACAAATACCCACCCGATAACAAGTTACTTTTTATAGAGAGTGAAGCGTAAAAAACATGCGTATAGTATTACATTTCTTTCATATAAAAAATACTTTTAAACTATGATATTTATGCAAATAAGTCCTATTTATAATAATTAGACTAAAATATCCTTAGCAATACATTTTATAATATATATATATATATATATATATATATAATATTTTGTTAAATTAATAAAAAAATGCCGACCGTGGTTGTCGCCTCAGAGAGGGAAGGGAAGACTGGAGAAGAGTTAGAAGAGCCGTCATGTGTCGGTGACATCCGCCATCGTCGTCGCTGCCACCACCCAGTTTCATTCTTTTCGATGAAGCTCCAACTACTGAAACCCAGTTCACGTCGGCGTGTTCCCAAGCGACGACAAAGCAGTGGCAAGCTCCTAGTGTCGGTGACATCTACCATCGCCGTCGTCGCCATCGCCTGCACAATCCCAATTCCAACCCAACACCCATTAGAGGATTGGTTCCTCAGCTTGTCAGAGAAAGTATATGTATATTATATATATATATATGGAGAGAGAGAACAAGGAATGGATGGATTTATTTCAAAAAGGTTAAGTGCAAAAAACATCCCCCAACTATGCTTACGGTGCATATCACACCCCTTCCGTGCAAAAAACACCCCTTAAGTTTCAATTTGGTGTAATTAAGTCCATTTGACACATTTAAAACCAAATTTGACTAAAGTACCCTTAGTCAACAATTTTATAAAATATATAAAAATACAGAATTTTGTAAAAAGACTAAAAGGGACAATAAGCATCGTCGTTTTGCATGGAGCGTTTAATTTTTAGCAAGTCTCCTGAACGTGGAGAAATCGCGTGGGCCGTTTCCGACCTCAAATACGCTACATTGTGCATCTCCTCTCAATTCTCAGCCATATCCCTCCTCTCTCTCTCCACAAGAATCTCTCTGTGTAACCACAAACACATCACACATTTCAAC